CTTAACTGATTTTTCAATCCCTGTTTTGACAGGTTTCCAAGGCAGGGCCCTTAAACTGGCTCCACACTGTTACTTTTTAAGACTTTAAGCACTTTAAATCCTTGTTTTTCCAGTCCAGATTTTAACACAGCCTGGATTGTGAGTCCCTGCAGGCCACATAGGAATTTCTACACTTTGCAAGATTATTTTTGGACTCTTTTTAATTTAATACCTGCCGTGGTAATTCACTTTCCTCCCCTGTCGTTTCACCCAGGTATCAAAAGACTGATTATCCTATTTATTTGGTTTTCTGACCCATTTTCTTCTCTTTTGAACTCTCACACTTCCACTTTTACAATCTTCTCCTCTGTTTTGATGCAGTGGTGTGTAGAGCCAAGCCCAGTCAACAGCCCCACAAACTTTTGCCAGCTTTAATAGCAAACCCTTCGGGCCGCTTCTATCTGTTTCCGCCTTCTCTGTGGGTCAAATTAGACGGTAGCACAGATCCGGGCCACTGGTCCGCTCTGACACAGTCATAAATTCTGGTAACTAGCCCCCGCTGGTTCTGACAGGGCTATTTTGCGAGGTGAAGACGGAGGGTTTGGACTATAAAGGGAGCAGCGCTTCCTGTGTTTTCTCAGACAACTGCCACACTGCAAAAAATGTCTGTATCTTTGCGAGTCACTTGAGTTGGCAGTCGAGTCCTGAATTCTTGTTTTGATTAAAATAACTGAAGGAATCTGCCAGTAGGGTGAGGTAACTTCACTGTTTTCCATGGCAGACTCTGTAAGGCAAATATATCTTAAAATAAGGCAGATCACTTTATTTCTCCCAAGATATTTCATGCACAAACTGCTGAAATGAAAACAAATCCAACCTCACTGCTCTGTCCTCTTTCCCCTCATGCATAGCCTCTGTATGTTGGTTAAAAGTCTCCTTCAGATGATACTTTTTGCAGTGTAAAACTCCCTGTCCATTCCCATGGCTTGTGCCCTTCTGTAGGTCCACAGCCAAAGCCCTAAAACCTTTAAAGCCTCGTATGACTCTAATGTAAGCTCCTTAATAATTTAATTCTGTTTGGAATCCGGCATGATTGGAATGGATGGGATTATCACGTTTCCTGACTAATGCTGCAGGTTCAACAGGGGTTAGCCAGTGTAACATGGTAATAAAAGCAAGTGGCATGTATGGAGAAAATAATTAAATGTGCCAAGGGGGAAAAAAAATGGAGGGAAATTAAAGTAGAAATGTCACTCAGGGCTTAGGATAACCATAAACAATGAATTCAGTGTGAGTGTGTGATGCCTTAGAAACCTGCTCTTATGAAACGGTCATTCACACTTTATGCAGCTATAAACAGTGAAGTCCAGTATTTCAAACTGTTGCTGAATGTGCCACAGGTACAGGATAATGGTTCATGCTAAAACATAATGTAATAGTAGTGTAATTAGTGACTCAGTTAAAGGTGATTACATAATATTACTACAGCCCCTTTTCCACTGGTCAGAAAACCCGCTAACATCAGGCTTTTGTCAGCCATGGAAAATGGTACAATTGGCGTTCACACCCGGGTCAAATGACTCTGCAGTAGACGTGGGTTTTTATCGGCTCCGGCTGCTATCAACACTCGAGTGAACACGCTAATTTTTCACCCCGTTTCCTGCTGTAACATCTTTCAGAGCGCAGACACTGTAAACACACCTGTCACCTGTCCAGCACGGTGCTGTTAAAACCCGGAGACACCACAGCTGCTCTGCACTCAGGGATGAAAGAGTGAAGCTGCAGCCGCAAAATAAGTTTCAAAAATGCATGAGATGACATTGGTTCCTGCAGTTTGTGTGTGTCCTCTCAGTCAGTCGCCGCCTTTTTAACCTGCTTACCTGTTAACTTTGGTGTAAAAAGTTAAAGTTTTCTAACATGAGCAAACATTCACCACCATAAGCTACTGGTCGTATCAGACCAAGTAAAGCAACAGTATGACAGCAAAACCCTCGAGTGTGTGAAGTTGAGCAAGAATATTTCTTCTTTTAAAAGGTTAAAAGCTAAAAAAAAATAATAATAATAATTGTGAATTTTTCATTATAAAACTGCCATAAAAATAAATAAATAATAATAACTGTGAAATAATCAAAATCTCCAAAAACAAATACAAAGACGATACAAAGATGTAAATCTGCACAGGTTATCAATCTCGTATCTCCAGTGTCAGATGAAGATTACATGTATCATATATCTGTGGACTGTGTCAAAGATTCGTGTCTGATTGAGCTGAAACTAAACTGTGATTTATTTATTTTCTTCTTCAAAGTGACAAGATGCTTCAACAGCCGCTTTAAACGTGTAAAATCAGAGAATCTGCACAGTAACTACAGCTGTCAGATAAAGGAGGTAGAGGAGGCTAAAATAAAGTATTCGTCTCTGAAACATAATAGAAAAAACAGAAAGTCCCCATCTGAGATTAAAATACTTCAAAGTAACAGAAGCTCAACAGAAGTGCAGGACTAAAGCAGAGGTACTTTCCCTGGTTATTATGAAACGAGGACGTAAATAAAGACCATAACTCTGATCTTGCTGTTTCTGTTGGTGGTCTTGGCCTCTGCACGTTTGTGACTTCTGCTCGTATTCTGCCACCTTTTTTAACTTAACTCCTTGTGCACTGCAGTTTAGTTTAGTTTTTTCTTCTTCTTGCCCCTCCTCTCTGCTCAGCGACCGCAGCACAAGGCGTCACTCATCTGCTCATGAGAGCAGCCATTGACTCCAGTTTGACTCCTCGGCTCTGAGAGGGGTAGACGGGGTGGAGCCAGCCGCTCTGAAAAACCATTTGCCAGCGTCGAGCAGGCAGCCTGGTCTATGTTACCATGCAACTGCAAAAAGCACACACAGGCATAATATTTACACTGTTACATTATTTTCCGCATGCGCCTCCAAGAGAGAGAGAGAGAGAGAGAGAGAGAGAGAGAGTCAAGGAGTGTATACTGTGAGACAGAGGGAGAAGGAGGAGGAGGAGGAGGAGTGTGATCCTCGACCTACAAATATATACATTGTGTGAATGGCTGGCCGGTTACCTAAACGCGTGGGGTTAAACGTTTGTGAAAACACTCAGCCCTCTCTGCGTCGGCACATTTTCCTACGCAGGTGATGTTAAGTGTTCCACCCTGAAAAGCCTCCTTGTTGACATCACTCGCTGCCGTCTTTAGTAATTCTGACCTCTTCTCGGAGGAGTTCACTTTGTGCTCGTCTCGCAGCAGCGGAGCAGTGAGCAGCAGCGACGGCGGCGGCGTCTGGAGCGCATGTTTCCACTTAAACTGCGCAGGGTCGTCCCTCTTGGCCCGCGGAGACTTCTGCCTATCGATGCGTAGCAGGTTTCTCTGTTCTCGCCTCGCCGCACGGAGCCCGCTCGCTCGCTCGCTCGCTCGCTCGCTCCGCCCTCTGAGCTTCTGAATCTGTCAAGTTAGTATCTGTCTGCTGCTGCCATCCAGCCCACACCTGGTTTGAATTACTGCGCAAAATTTACCCTTCGACTCTCCAGGGATGGATTGCTTTTGACTGGCACAGTGGAACCAATTTCAGAGGTGCAAAAAAAAAAAAAAAAGAAGGAGAAGAAATCCTGAATCACTGCAGAGAGAAGAGAAGAGAACGCTTTGACTTCACCGAGCTCTCTCTTCTTTATATCATCATTTCAATTAGTTTAACTGACACTGTGGTGTTCTGTTCTTAAGGCTCTTGCCATCATTGTTTAGCACCTTGTGAAGCCATTAGCGGTGTACCCCGTCATATTTCTTCATGTCATCTTGCACAGTCTTAAAACGTTATTCATTTGTTTGTGTTGTGTCTTTATTTTTTTTTTGCAAACTTCATTCTTTTCTTCCTCCATGGAAGATGCAGCTGAGCTGGAGACAAGAAGGTGCAACTTCCTTCCAACACAAATGAGCTTTCTCCTCTTCTCCGCTGTCGTAATGTCGGGGGAAAACTACCAACTTTCAACCTCCTCTTTGTTTCTGTTTTTCTCTCCTGTATTCATTGCAACTGTGTCCCGTCCAATTAGATCCCCAAGACTTCAAATATGAGCTCCAACACACACACACATTATGACGGTTTCCTGTTTTCTATCTTCTCCCTCGGGCTGGTTAGCCGTAGGTTCTGGCACCTGTCTCTGTTCGCGGCGTCTTGGACACCCTGACGCAGCTCCTCCCTCTTCATCTCCGCTCTGAGGCGAAGCAGGCAGTTGAAAATCTGTTCTCAGCTCACCACTGGCCCTTTTTGATACCTCTCGTATCTGCTTGCAAAGCTACCAGAAGCTTTCCAACTCGCCCCAACTCTTCTGTCGCCCGCTAGCATAAGTTAAACAAGGAAAATTTAAGCTCCAAGTTGGGCGACAGTCTCGCCCCGTGATACATGGTGCTGCGGGCGCACAGAACTGTTTCCCATCAAGACGTTTACACCACGTCCGAAGATTGTTTTCTGCTAATCACGTCTGCTCTGCATCAAGCTGTATGCAATTAATAAAAGGAGCTTTGAGTTGTATTACCGTTTTAAATGTTTGCTCAAAAGGGGGTTTGCACCTCAGTAAACATGCCGCTGCACACGGCACGCTCTTGTTTACCATCCTGCCCGCTCTGCGATGTTTTATACCAGAGGATATCAAAGGAAGGAGCAGATCTGACTGCTCTCTCTGGACAGGGCGCTCACCCACTTCATTTGTACAAATAGAGGAAACGTCTGTTAGTGAGCCGGGAGTTTGTCTCTATTTGGGCTTTAGTTTGTGACTGGGCTGAATTTATATTCACACCTTAACTGCAATTTCTTCTTCTTCTTCTTCTTCTTCAGTTTTCTTGTGCAGGTGACAGGTGATCAATAAAGGCTGTCCTCACAAATAAGAATATATTAGATTCATCTTTTGTTGCTTGTCTATCAGGCCGACAAATGAGACCAAACTCCCCCTGACATTTCTTCAAATAGGTTCAGTATCGTGTGTTCTGACTCTTCCTCCCCTCCCTCCTCCTCTCTGCCCCCCCCCCCAGCTGAGACACCAGCAGTGGAGTCTGGTGATGGAGAGCGCCGTGCCATCAGACCGGGGAAACTACACCTGCGTGGTTCAGAACAAGTACGGCGCCATCACCCACACCTACCAGCTGGATGTGCTAGGTAAACACCACGGAAACATTTACTTTCACTTCTGCTTCTGTGTAAACAACGAATAAATTACCATTCACAAGTGGCTTAAAAAACCCCACAAGAGCTGTTGATTGGGGGGAAGAAAAAAAAAGATTTTTTAAAACTACCTTTCCTGCAGCAAATCATTCCCATGCATGACTTGTGCTCATGACTCTGCACTCTCTCTCTCTCTCTCTCTCTCAGAGCGCTCCCCTCACAGGCCCATCCTTCAAGCGGGCCTGCCAGCCAATCAGACGGTGGTGGTGGGCAGCGACGTGGAGTTCCACTGTAAGGTCTACAGCGACGCCCAGCCGCACATCCAGTGGCTGAAACATATCGAGGTCAACGGCAGTCGCTACGGCCCTGATGGCGTTCCCTACGTCAACATCCTGAAGGTGGGTGTGCTGCCTGACGCTCTGTTTCACATCTCTAATGAGTCCTGCTCTCACTGCAGTTTTGCCTGGAGTAGATTTCAGCCTATGATAATTTGACTCATAATTAATCTCTCCTAAATGTCTTATTTAATGAGTTTTTACAGTAGGTGGGTCTTCGGGGGCCCACAGGCTTTTTTTTTTTTTCACCGCAGCGTATAATTGACCAGCTCATTCCTCCAACTCTACACCTTCGTTACGGACTTTCTGCAGCGAACAGAAAAACGTACACTCATTAACTTAATGATATCACCGTAAACCACAGTGCAGGTTCTGAAACGCGGCACCTGCACCGCTGCAGTTTCAACAAAACTCAAAGAGATGATACGCAGCAGCTTTTTTATTCCAGTGTTGGCCTGCGGGATGATTGGCAGCTGGTGAAGGTGGATCAAATTAAATGAAATCATAATTAAAGGTGGATTTGTGTTTATCCTTTCAGGTGTTCCAATTTTCTTGCTGTGGAAGCGTCCAACACAGGAACTGATTAATAGCTCAGGACATTTGTTATAAACCTGAAGTAATAATGCGGCTTTAATTATATATAATTTGGGCAGGACAATAAACCAAATATATCAAATTACCAACATTATGAATCTGTTACCAGCCAAAATGGATTCATGTCTCTTCAGAGCATGTCTGTAAACAGCAGCTACAAAAACCAATGACATTTAATCAGGAGTACAGCTGACCAATCAGCCAACAGAACATTTGAGAAATGATTGAACCTGCAGATGTATGAAAAGATAATTATTGTTTTATTTATTATAATTGAGAAAGAATCTGATATTTTAGGTCATGTTATTCCAAATTAAATGTGTTCACATTTATTGAATTGACTTTGTGAGAGTGACAGGAAACACAAGTAGAAGGTTTTCCCTGCAAATCATAAAGTCTACACTCATCTAACATTACTGAGATTCTTCTGACATCGCTTTCAGATCAACAATCTCTGCGTGAAGTTGAAAACACAAGCTGATCTGATGAAGCCTTTTAGCTGTTATGTCCACAGCCTTGATGACTACATTTTTATCTTCACTTACAGATGAATGAAAACAACTGAACTCTTGAGGTTCCTTTCGGCTTCGAGTGATAAGAGAAAGATAAATGAAACAAACAGATAAAATAATATCCCATGACAAAAGCATAAATCCTCATTAAAGACGATCATTCGAAAACCTTTTGATGCCAAACCTGCCACAGCGGCGATCCCACCTTAATGAAACTTGATGATGCATCTTGTTGCGTCATTGTTTGGGAATTAATTCTTCAGTTACACATCAAGTGAAATGCAGGACTGTTATAGGTGCTCTCTACCTGACTTGTATCTCCAGGTTTATCAATCACTGATACTGAGTGTATGCGTGTTTGGTTCACACTGTTCACTTGTACTGTGAGTTTTTGTGTTTGGTTTGTCTGCAGCCTTCTCGGTTGCTCCGATTCTGCATCTCGTTACAGTTTTTGTTTTGTTTTTTTTTTAAATGATTCTCAATCAAAAACAGCTCCCTCGTGAGCTAAAGGTTAAGTAAACGCAGCGGGGAAGTGGTCAGATAATCTGAGGAGAGTTTGCTCCCGTTAAAGAGCAGCTCCTGGAGGTCTCTCTCTCTCTTCGCCTCCCCCAGGCAGCGGTGTTGGCGTTCAAGAATAGAGCAGAAAGCATTCCTCACCATGAGAGGACAACACCCTAAACCCACTGTGAGGCGTGTTTTTTTTATTTGGGGTGAAGAGAGGAAGACTCCCATCGAAAAAAAACCAAGAAGGCCCCTTGCTTTCTCGTTTGCCCCCCTCCCCCTTTTCTTTTTTTTTTTTTTTTCTGCCTCTAGAGAGAGCGAGGGAATAAAAACATCTGGTTTGGACTAAGTTAACTGCTGTGGTGGCGGCAGAGAGAGAGAGACGGGCTCTGTTAACCGCCGCTGCCGTCAGATGTGCTGCGTCGCGTGGTTTGGAGGAGGAGGAGAGAGGAAAGAGGGAAGAGGCACCCAAAAAAGCCATGGAAAAAATGAGTGGAGGAACACAAGGAAGGGCAAAGTCAGCAGGAAGAGAGAGAGAGAGAGAGAATGTGTGACAGAGTGGTGGGTGAAGATGGAGGGCGAGAGACTTATAGGGAATGAGTGAGGGGGGAGGGTGAGAGAGGCAGGGAGACGAGAGAGAAGAAAAGGGAGGGAGATAGAAACAGAGAGAGTGACAGGAGACCGACATGGAATATGTAACACTGCTGACTTCATCTATTTCTTGGAGTGCTGGATTTTGTGATTTTAAATTTCAGTCAACTTTATTCAGCAGTGAGTTGAAAAATAATGATATCAAGACAGAAGAGTGTTCTCAGAATCTCAATGCTGCACCGCGCTGCTTCGATGATGGATTATTTAGCAGTTCAGATTAATAACCATCATGAGTACGGCTCACACTCATCTCCAGATTCACCCATAACAAATTTTCAAATCATTTTTTTAATCATTTATTAGATAGAGAATTGAATATATTTATATTATGACCAGTTGACAGTGATAGTTTCATTATTATTGTGGTTTCAGAAGGGTTTTTCCCTCTTTTGCCCCACGATGCAATGGAGAAAAAGATCAATGAAAACACATGAAAAGTGATGTGACATTACAAAAAGCTCCACAACTTAAAGGAGTAGTTTAAAATACATTTATTCACTTTCTTGCCAAGAGTCAGATGAGAAGATTGTTACCACTCGCACATCTGCGCTGCGAATATGAAGCTACAACCAGCAGCCTGTTAGCTTAGCTTAGGGTAGTACAAACAAGATATGGCTACCGGCATCAAAGCTCACTGATTAAATGTTCCTTTAACGAGGGCTCAGCCACGTCCATTTAATATCTGTCTCAGTTTGTGTGTTGAGGCCTCAGCAGAAACGTCTCCAGCTCTCACTCAGTAAGATTACAGTTACAGAAAAGGGACTCGAGCTCGGACTCAAACATGATATCAATAAGTTGCCGTCACATTTATTGTAACGAGGAGCCCGTCTGAAAGGAGAGAATATGGAAGTGTCAGAGGGAGAGAAAAAGAGGGAAGATAGAGAGACGAGAAGGCGGGAGAAATGGAGAGAAAGAGGAGGAGAGAGACAGGCCAACAGAAAGAAAGAGAGGGGGCAAGCGAGCCTGTCAGCCCAGACCGCGGCTCCACGCTCTATTTTCAACTACCACATAATTGAAACAGTATTTACTGAGATCTGTGTGTGTCTCTCTCTCTCTCTCTCTCTCTCTCTCTCTCTCTCGCTCTGTCTCTCTTTCTGGCCCAACCACAGTTCATTCAAACTCTTTGCGACATCTCATGTGTGGTATATACTGTAGGAGTTAAATACAGCTGAGGGTGGGAGGAGTGTGTGGGGGGGGTCATGCATGTTTTTTTTTTCCTGTTTGAGAAATGCCTGAATCACTCTTTTGATGCCTGGAAAAAGAGTTAACGATGAGCGACTCGCCCCGGCGTGGGGAGGGAGAGGGAGGCGTCTGGAGCCGGGCCCTGGATGTTCATTAAGCAACCATAAAACATGATATGTTTTCCCCCTTTATGTGCTTTGCCCGTTTAATTATTCATCAGCAGCTTCTCTACTGGAGAGCCCGTCACAAGCAATGTGTGTGTGAGTGTGTGTTCATGCACGCAGCGTACACACTCTGGGAAGATTGACACACTGAAATGCCTTTAATATACCAATCGACAGCATGTGTTACTGTGTATGTAATGTACGGTGTGTATGAGTGTGCGTGTGTGATCTTTGAAGGTTTGACATTATGCTTTTAATCTCAGCCTGCTTCACTTGAAATGTGCAGTTTAAGTGTGTGTGTCTGTTTGTCCAGTTTTCCAAAGCAAAAGTAAAACAGTCAATTACCAGGAAACATTCATTTTTTTACTTTATACGATACTTTTATATTTTGGAAAAACACTTATTCACTTGCATGTTGCATCTTAGATGAGAGGATTGACACCTCTCCAGTAAGTGTAGCGAGAGCCAATGGCAATTATCTTAGTTTAGCATTAAGTCTGTAAGCAGGAGAAAGTCGGGGAAATAGCTAGTTAGCCTAGCTTTCTCCAAAATTAAAAAATAAACCTACCAGCCTTTTCCAAAGTTCACTGGTTAACAAGGTGCATCTCACTTGTTTAATCTGTACTCAAACAGAAATGTAAAAACAAATTTTGTTTTGGTTTTTACATGATATAAGCTAAGCTAATAGCATCCAGGCTCTAGCTAGCTCCATGCATAATGTAATTCCCAAAAAATAAAAACAATTTCCTGAATCAAACAAGTGTTAGCAGTGAGAAGTAACCAAGAAGAAGAAAAGTGAAGAGGATAAACATTGGTTAAGCCTACACCTGAAAGTGAAAGAAAAGAAAGGTGGAAAGAAAGCGGGATATACAAGTAGCAGAGCGTTTCCTCTGCTTAGTTCATCCATTTCTATTGTACATATATAAGTTTCTATATATTGTGTATTCTACTGTATTATGGCCCTTATACTGTGACAACCACATATGACATGAAAAGAAAACTGTACCTAAGTGTCCACTGAGTGTAGGATGATAAAAGGAAAATATAGGAATGTAAGTGAAGTTGCAGTTTTTCACCTGCTTGCAGTATATGAGTGTATGTGTGTTTGTTGTCCAGGTCGTGTTCTCTTCATGTGTTCCTGCAGGAATTTGTCGTAAAGGCCTCACTGTGCCTCTCAATTTTCCCTTTACAGAGTGTGGTCAGTAAACACACTGAGGCCCACAGTAAGTTGAAACTGTCCAACGTGACAGAGAAAGACGCTGGGAAGTTCTGGTGTCGCGCCTCAAACTTTGTAGGCAAGTCAGAAAACGCTTTCTGGCTTAAGGTACACAAAGCAGGTAAATCCTGAGCGACCTTCACATCTGATTCTCTGCTGTGTCTCCTCCTCTCTGCAGGGCTCCTCTTGGTTGTGGGTTTTATTGGCTTACTGGCTTGCTAACGGCCAACACGCACGCACATGCACGCACATGCACAAACACACACATACACATACACATCTGAGTTTAAATGCACATTCACATTGTGTTAGCTAGTAGGTATCATCCATTTTAACACCTAGCGCCACTTTGTCTTCCTTCCGGATCAATAACAAAGCACAATATCACACCTTTAATTACTGCGACGACTTCAGAAGCCTCAACCTCGCTCTCCCACAAACCACCTTTACACACAAACACTCTCACACACACACACACACACACACACACACACACTCACACTCACACTCATAAAAGCACACGTAAAACCTCCCACTAGCCCAACACACACACAGACTGGCATTGATTTCCCCGGGAGTGCATTCTCCAGCTGTATTAATGTGCTTTTATATGAAAGCATGCAGTAGGACTGTGATTCATGGCTGGGTCTGGATGTCACTGTTCATTACTGAGGCCTCAGGAACCAGAGTCCCCCACCCCATCCCCTCCCAAGCCACATCAGATACTGGATTTGAAACAGTCTCCCCTACTGGTCATCACACCAACCATTAGTCAAAGGGGAAAAGCCACAACTGCAGCACTGCTCATTTTTGAGTAATTTCAAGGTTATTTAGAAGAAACCATAGTGAATCTTTAGGGTATTGCAAAGTTGTTTTTATCAAATTGATTGTAAGTTTGTTCAGCTGAAACAACAGGAAAATGTGTGCTATTCCCATTGATCTTCATATGAATATGATTTATTTATGGTTTATTTGAATTTATTTAAATAAATAAAAAAACAAAGGACCCAGAATCAATCCTTGAGGCACCCCCAGAAGAAAAAAACTTCAAGGTCAAAAGATACAAATGGCTTTCTGTTGAATATACAGCCAAAAAACAATGTTTGAAGCAAGTAAAGAAAAAAAAAGAAATTTCTCACTGTCAACATTTGCTGCCGCCGTCACACCCGTGCGGTGCCATTATTTCTGCAGACAAGATATTGCGGTGGAAGGATTTGCTTTGCTTTAGCGTCAGGAAAACTTTGCACTGGTTCAATTTAAACTCACAGTTACTGATGTAAGTGACAGAAAACTTTCCCATGATCAAAATCTCCCATCTTATCAGGTCCTCTTTGTCTGTCTCTGATCTTTGCATTGTGAATATTTCAACCTTCAACTACTCCGGTTCCAGAGATGAATGCCAGTACCTTAAAGGTGGATATGTTAAGGCAGATCACGGCACTAGAATAGAGAATAGAGAAATGAGCCATGATTCTATAAAATGCTTGTTAAATTCTCACTGGCACATTTGAAACCTTTTTTTTGTTGGGAAATTATGACTTTAAGCGTTAAATAACAGTCCACAGTTTACAGTTAGTTACAGTTTTGCCTGTGGCCTTAAGTTGAACCAACAAGCTTCTTTTCGCAACAGGGTGACGGTGCTGCTTTGGTGTTTTCAGGTGTTGGTGGTGGGACTATCAGCAGCACTGCTGACACCTTCAGATCCTCAATCCTGTCCTTTTCCCTCCAGGGTGTATTTGGTGTTTCTTCTAAGAAGCTTTGGGCTCATGATATCTCTCTTCTTTCTCTCTGTTCTCCCTCCTCCATCTTATACCTCTCTCATCCTCCACAGACGGCTGGTATTAACACTACAGATAAGGAGCTAGAGGTTCTCTTCTTGACCAATGTGTCTTTTGAGGATGCGGGCGAGTACACTTGTCTGGCAGGGAACTCTATCGGCTATGCTTACCACTCTGCTTGGCTGACGGTGCTTCCAGGTATATTCCTCCTCTCTCTGTGGACTCTTATCATCCATTTCTAACATCTCAAATGTCATATAAACTCCATACAACTGTGATTGTCCCTGTACTTTTTTTCTACAGTTTCATGTTTTGCTCAGTAGCACAATATTTAACAGTCATTTTCAAACCCAATTATCGCAGATTGATACTTGTTAACTCGTTTTTATGTGTGTTGAAACTGTATCATCATCCCTTTAATTTAACGAACCGAATGTGAAATCCATCCTCTGTCGAAAAGAAGAAAGTTTTAATCAGAGCAGATCGTCTGTTTAAATGTCTCAAGGCTACAAGGCAATTTCAAGACATTTATGTGTTCAGCATTCAACACGATAATTACCTCTCTGGGGAGGAGCATATCACAGGTGCAATTACCTGCTGCAGGATAAATCTACAAGTTGATTACTGTGCATGCATACTTTCAGTATACAAAGCCAAGTTTGTGATCTGTTTCTGTTTTGATTTATAGATTTTATCTCATAAAAACTGCTTCCTAGAATCCGTCCAGGTGAAACGTGCTACTGAGAAAAGCAATACCAGTTTGATGTGAATCCGATGTGCGCACTGTGCGTGACTGACTTCCTGTGTGTGTGTTTGTCCGTCTACCTCCTCCTCCCAAAGCAGTGAGCCCAGAGAAGGAGGACTACTACGCCGACATCCTCATCTACGTGACGGGCTGCGTGCTCTTCATCCTCGCCGTGGTCATCGTCGTCCTCTGCCGCATGAGGATGACCAATCAGAAGACGCTGCCCACGCCTCCCGTGCAAAAGCTCTCAAAGTTCCCCCTCAAGAGACAGGTAACAGAAAGTAGATACAAGATTCGTACAAGACTTTCCCTCTTTTTCTCTCTACCTGTCTGTTCAGTTTGAACAATCGTAGCCGAACGTGATGCAGCTGATGTTGGTAAAATAATACTGTGTTGAAAAAAAAACAAAAAAAAACTGCACCTGTAATCCCTGAGATACTTTATTAAGCAGTTTTTTAATTCATCAGCATGTCAGCAAACTCAGTTGGCTTCCCCAGGAGGTTTAGAGACATTACAGGGTTTACCAGGAGTCCTTGAATTCCTGGAAAACTTCCAGAGGTGTATTCAAGACGGACAAAACCGGGGTTGAGACAAATCAAGAACTTATTTAGTAAATTAACTGTTTTTCACCAAAGCAAATAGAAGTGCAGCAGGAATTTAGTTTATTTTGAAAAACAACCCCAACAGTCAAGTAGGGACTAACATTATTGACTCAGGAAAGAACTTGAAATTAGTTCTGGAGAGTCATGGAAAAACAGTGTAATAGTTGTGCATCAGTGCCACAAGGAGAACCCTGCTAAAGAATTTATATTTGCAATATCAGTCTGTTGAACTTCTATAACTTTCAAAGAAGAATGGCGCAGAGGATCGGACTCGCGCAGGACGGAGTGTCAATAAATACAGGAGGTTATTGTACGTCTGTCTGTCGAGGATCTCTCTCCTGTCCTGCTGCTTTGGTGACGTAGGGCGGACACTGGAAGGCATCACACCGGTGACATGTGTTCACATTTATCTTGGAGTAGATTCAGCTCAGGGATATTTATGCCCTCCTGTGACTGTCAGTGTTAGTTTTAGATTTCACTCTCTGTGTAACACACACTCGCCCCTCAACTGTTTGGAGAGAAACATAAAGTGGAGCAGCTGCCTCGGCACGGCCCGCAGTCTGCAGGACTCTTCACGTCATTGTCTCTCAGGGCCGTGTTCAAGGCGAACCTCCTCGGTCGAGTCTGAGCCGGATCCAAGACCGGCTTCAGACAGAAAGCAGACCAAGCCGAGACAAACCAGTCGACTGAAAGGATTGAGGATTAAAGGAATAGTTGTGACATTTTGGAAGTTGCAATTATTTGAATGAACTTGAAGCTGGAGCCAGCAGCTGGTTAGGTTAGCTTAGCTAAGCTTAGCTTAGCTTAGCTTAGCTTAACAAAAAGACTGGAAACAGGGGGAAGCAGCTGCCTACGAACAACTCTGTAAAGGTCACTAATTAACACGTTATTTAAGCAATATCACACGAGAGTGAGTGATGTTGTACTGAATATCAGCACGGCTGTGATTCGGTCACAGGTACGAGGCCTTGCTGCTCTGTCCACACGTTACCTCAGGTGTGCCCTGAAGTACACAGCCTTCTTCCCTTCAAACTCTTCTGACGACCAGACATCATTTCATTCAAACGTTAATTCTGGAAATACTTTCTTCTTTGCAAAGTTTGTTACAATCGAACATAGATGACGACCGTTAATGTAACGCTGATTAACGGTTAATAGAACACCTGTGAAGCGGAGTGATACATGTAGTGAAAAGTCCCAGTGCTGTTATACTCGTCCAATCAAATTACTTGGCCGGAACGAACTGTTGCATACATTTAATTTATTTCAAGAGGAGAAGTTTTGGTTTGACCTTCAGACAGAGCCAGGCTTTTGGTTTTTATGCTAAGCTAAACTAAGCTAAGTTGAGTCAATATCCATCAGTGTTTAGAGCAAATCTGAGTCAAAACAAGAGCAAGAAGCAGAGATGTCCAAGAAGGGAAAAAAGTTTTTCTAAAGGCCAGACTCGAGTACCTTCCCTTATCCAGCCTTTCTTTCTCCACACTAATGAATTTGGCCTCTCCTTCATCTTCCCCTCTCTTCACTCCACTTTACTCCCATGAAAAGACTTCTATCTGAGCTCCTGAGCCTCCATTTCTTTTCTTATTACTTCTCTGTCTTATATAATCTTCAGAAAACCATCAGGCGGTGCAGTGTGGCTTCACTCTTTTTTGTTCTTGTAGTATTTGTGTACAGCGTACAGGGCGGTACACCTTGCGATCGGACGCTCTGGATGTTACGCTGATGTGAAACGTCTGAAATGCAGATGAGTTTGTGATTATCCGTCCTGCCCCACACCCTGCTGGCCTCCCGCTGTGAGCAGGACACAGCTGCTGTGTGGCCGTTCTGTGCGAGCTCCGGCTTTATAATTGAAGGGTTGAGCTCGTCAAAATGCAAAACCCGCATTTTTAGGAAACTGTTGTTTGAAAGTCGTATAATTCAGTTCTTGGAAAACACGACTTTTAAAGCTAAAGTTAGCATTTAAGCTGGACAAAGCAAAGTTGTTTTTTTTTTGTAAACAGTCCTTGTTAGTTAAACGCAGCGTTGTTAAGTTATATCAGGTAGAAACTAGATGCTCTAATTGTAGCCTCCAAATCTCTGACTCTGCTGCCTTCATATACATGCTCTTATAAGGAAGTGCAGGGAAAGATCTTATTGCATTTTTCTGTAATCTTCGCTTCGTTTTTGTAAAGCTAATCTCCTGGTTCTCTCCTTTCATAACTCTGAGTAAATCTCCCATAAACCTCCTGGCATGTTCTATCAGATATTACTTTCATGCCTCTGAAATTGTGGTCGGGGCTGTTTTTTTTTTTTTCTTTTAGCTTCACAGCGTTTTTCTCATTTTCCTCCAGTTGAGAAGTTGAGGAGGGAAGTCTGGTAAGTGGACATGTTTGTTTCAGGACCCCACCTGAAGGGGCCGAGCTGGCAGACTCTGACACAAACAGATTCATCAAAAGCCGGGCCGGAGCCATCAGCACCCCCCACCCCACCCACACACACCCCCACCCCCCCAGCACTCAGATAAATGGTGTGAGGATGTCGGGCCCACGGGCTCGGTGGCAGGACCGCCGGTCTGGAAATGGAGCTGGCTGATGGATAGAGACGTCCATCCCACCTCGCCACTCGCCCCCACCACCCCCACCTCCCCTCCCCCCACCCCTGCATCCTCCTTCATTCGTCTTTGTTACCGCCTGCTTCCTCCTGCGCGCAGCCATAGGCCGGCTGTTTGTAAAAGTCACTGCCGGTGTCAGGAGTCAGGCTGTTTTTCAGAGAAACTCTGAGCGGCTGAAAGCTCTGACGCTGCTCCTGAGATGTGTGATGTTTGCAGCTGATTGTTGCCAAAAAATTCTTCATCTTGAGAAGTTATTCGATCGCTTTATTTATACTGAAGTTCAAACCAAGTTTAACTGAAGGCAGCTTTGAATTTTAGAAGTGAAATACTTTTTCTGTCCAAGCCACAGCTTGAACGTTTTCAGCATCTTACAAGAAAATGTTCATTTGAATTATATTTTCAGTTTCAGATCAAAAACCAATCAGACGTTTTAAGATTTTGACAAGTCATCAGAAATTATATTTGAAGATGAATTTGTTTTCTTTAGAGGAGTTCCACTTTGGGAGTTTTTCCCTAACTCATTTTGACTTAAATTTTTTGCAGATGAATATTTTAGTTCTCTTGGTAAAACTGTCTTTACAGTAAAATTAGATCGTAACTCAGAGATCAAGATGAAGGCTGGAGCACAGAGTGAGAAGCTTTGTTATAGAGTGCTGCAGGAATGAGTCATAAAACCAGGAAATGAGCATTTTAGCACCTTTCGGTTTCCCTCTGTCTCTTTGTTTAAACTCCCATCAGCTCGCCCTTTTCAGAGACTATAACAGTTTGTCTTTTGCACCCAAGCAGGTGTCCTTGGATTCCAACTCCTCCATGAACTCCAACACGCCGCTGGTCAGGATCGCCCGCCTGTCCTCCAGCGACGGACCGATGCTGGCCAACGTTTCGGAGCTGGAGCTGCCGTCTGACCCCAAATGGGAATTTCCCCGCACACGGTGAGAAGGAACAAAGAAATATTTCTCCAGATCTACATTCATCACTGACGTTTAAAAGCCTGTCAGAAGAAAGAAAACAAACAAAACAAAAACAAAAAAAAAAACATGGTGTGAGCTGTGGCTTTTTTCACGCTGCCAAGCAACATATTTCAGAATTGACAGATACTGCGCTGTTGTCCTTGTACCGTGATGTGCTGTGAAAACACGAGTGCCATCAATACGTCAAGGTCGCCGTGGCACCTGCCTGCACGCTTATTGTACTTGGCAAAACAAATCAGCCTCATTCAGAAGTCTAATTCACAGAGGAAAAAAAAAAAAAAGAAAACACTCCTCAGGTGTGCTCCAAGCTCTGAAGTGGTTTTGCTTTTGTTTCAGGTTAACTCTGGGTAAACCTCTGGGCGAGGGCTGCTTCGGTCAGGTGGTGATGGCCGAGGCCGTCGGCATCGACAAGGAGAAGCCCAACAAGCCGCTCACTGTGGCTGTGAAAATGCTGAAAGGTAAGTGACTGTGGAGCCTGCGCTACAGGAATTAATGCACAACCTTGACGGTGACAGCCAAGGTAGTTTTCTGTGATTTCCTGAAGGAAATCAGCAGCATTGTGTCCTTCCCGCTCCCTTTCTCTCATGCCTTCCTGTACATAGTAATTTACGTGGTTTGTTTCTCTACAAATGAAGCTCTTCATTAATTCTGCGGATCTGCTTTTTGTTTGTCCCAGATGACGCCACAGATAAAGATTTGTCAGACCTGGTGTCGGAGATGGAGATGATGAAGATGATCGGAAAACACAAAAACATTATCAACCTGCTGGGAGCGTGCACGCAGGACGGTGAGGCCACGGTGCACCGCAGACGAGATGATGAAGTCAGTAATTAACAGTGAGTCCTGACGGTGACGCTGTGATTTGTGTTTTGCGCGCAGGTCCTCTGTACGTCCTGGTGGAGTACGCCTCTAAAGGCAACCTGAGGGAGTACCTGCGGGCGCGGCGGCCACCGGGCATGGACTACTCCTTCGACACCTGTAAAATCCCCGACGAGCAGCTCACCTTCAAAGACCTGGTGTCCTGCGCCTACCAGGTCGCCCGAGGCATGGAGTACCTCGCCTCGCAGAAGGTCAGCCGCTACGACGCTGAAGTGCACGTGCACTGTCCTGATTTACTGAGCTGAGCCTCTGTGTGTGTGTGTGTGTGTGTGTGTGTGTGTGTGTGTGTGTGTGTGTGTGTATGTTTTTAGAATCAGCAGCTGTCCTCACAGCTTCAGCTTCAACTCAAAGGGTTAGGGTTAGTGTGAGTACAGTGAGATTTGTTTTATTTTTTATTATAAAGCAAGTCGAGGTTCTGCATTAAAGCTGAGAAGAGAGCCTCCTCTCTTCTGATTGGCTCACCGACCTGTTGTTGTTGCTCGAGCTGCAGAGAGAAGCCTGAGAGAGGAGATGTAAAACTACACTGAGATGGTTTTTGGTTCTTAAAACCCAAAAATATATACCATTATTTTACCATTTATAAACTTTCTAAGAAAATTTGGGAAATTGGAAAGTTTTCTGGAAAGTTACAGGTAAATGTAGTAAATAGAATTGTAATTGATTTTTTTTTTTCTCATAATCTAAATGTGGAGAATTCACAGATTACTCTTTGCAGTGTTAAAATGAATTTAAAGAGTCAGGACTGAAAGAAAAGTTTTACTCTCAATTTTCAGTGATTAAAGTCGGAATGAGGCTTTATGTTTGGAGTAAAGGTCAATATTCAAGTTAGAGGAGAGTAAGTGAAAGTTATCGTGTGTGTGTGTGTGTGTGTGTTGTGGATGTGCCTTTGATGCATTTGTACTTCTTCCTTCAGTGTATCCACAGAGACCTGGCGGCCCGAAACGTCCTTGTGACGGAGGACAACGTTATGAAGATCGCAGACTTCGGTCTCGCCAGAGACGTGCACAATATAGACTACTACAAAAAGACCACGAACGTGAGTCTCAGCGCATCAGTATTCTCACTCAGACAACTGGCAAACAGTCTCAGACTTTCACTTGCATCAAATGGCGTCATTGACGAGAGCAGGATCATTTTGCCTTTTCTACAGAGAAACAGTAACTTCAGTTTCTCATTCTTGAAAATGAGATTCTGTCAGTGTCACAGTCGGGTCAGAGGAGGAAAACTAGATCATACTGCTCAACTCTTCTAGGCCTCGACACTTTGATACTGATGTTATGACAATGTGAGGATGACTTCAACCTGTCAGAAGGTTTTTACACACAAGAAAAAGGAAATTAAACACATGAGTCACATGAATTTGATGCCCAGAGTTCAGTTTACTGAGATAGAACAGTCGAGAAAAACAAAACCCGTATTGAAGACGGGAAAGAGAGCGTACGTCAGGATTAACAATAACCAAGAGATGTGATATTTGTGAATTGTCCTTGAATCTTTAATACATTTTTATGACAGTAATGAAGCCTTTAGAGCTGTATACAGTAATTATACACACACACACTTTATACCTGGTGAATTAATGTGGCGCTGAAGTTCAGGTGTCAGGAGCAGGTTGAAGTCTGAGCATGTGGGTCCAGTGTTGTACTGTGGGCTCTGTACAGAATGGTTCTGCTGACCGAAGCGGTTCTGCTGTGCCTCTGTTGTTGCAGGGTCGTCTGCCCGTGAAATGGATGGCTCCGGAGGCTCTGTTCGACCGGGTCTACACGCACCAGAGCGACGTGTGAGTTTGCACAGACCGACGGCCACATGCCGACTGTCCGCTCATGTGGAGCTGCTGCGCACCGGAGGAATCCGGGTGTTGAAATATCGTGACTGAGCGCGTTAGCATCAAACGCTTGAGTTTGTGCGTGTGAATATGGAATCATAGCTTTCCCTCTCCAAATATCTCCCGCTCCCGCCGTCATCTGCGCTCTCTTGATAATCCTGAGCTTCTTGTGTATCAGTGGCTGCACATTCCTCGCCGCGTTTGTTCTCTAATCTCCCGACACGACATCAGAGAGAGACAGAAAAACACAACGAAGCCCCGTCATCTCACTGTTGTTTTATCAGTGTAAATCCAACCTGGCCCAGAACAGAAGGAGATAAGAGGGTCAGTGGATTTATCACCAGGTGCTCCCTCGCAGGGTTTTTCCACAACTATTCAAAGGAATCGCAGCAGCGGAGACGAACGCACCTTTTACCACCTCTGATTGCTCCCGTGTTGGCTGTGATCAGGAGGAGAGAGGCGCGTTTAGGCGAGGAGGTCACAAAGTCAATCTGTCTTGCGGTAGCTGTCCCCCCCCCCCTTAGACAGCTCCTCGCCCCCCTGCCGGCTGCAGCCAGACGCTGTGTCCCCAGCACAGCCATCCAAGCCAAACACGGGACCCTGTCAACACTGGCTCGCAGTGTGATTACACGAGACTGGGAACTGGCCGAGAGGAGAATCAGCCCGCTCTGTTATTTCAGCAGGTCTGGATTACAGAGTCAATCCTCCTGCCAGACCTCCTCCTCCCTTTATACAGTAGTCGCTCCGCAGCCAGTTTACTCTCACACACCCCGGGGGACTTTGACTTTTGACCTGTGATGGTTTTTCATGAAACAGATTACGCTTTGCGGGGGGGGGGGGGGGGGGGGGTTGGCTATTAAACACATTAAAGCAAATCGGACACGACCAAACGGCAAGAGAACGACTGAATATTAGCAAAGTGTTGCGTGCAGCAGCCACACACACACACGCACAACTGACGCCACAGATCATGCATCGGGTTCACGCGTGTTTCAGCTTCACAAACATTCACAGCTCTGGGGCAGAACTGGCAGCGACAACGCTCAGGATTTATACAGTTTCACACACTTGGAGCGGAGAAGCAGTTCACCTAGACGCAACATGTCGATCAAGTAATATAAGCTTGAATTCACAGTTTTAAAGGTCCTGTATTGTATAAAAGGCAGATGTCCATGTGATTTTTGATTATAAAGCAGAACTACATTAAGATTAAGAGGTTCTTAAAACCACAATTATATTTTCATATGGATAAAAACTTCAAATAAAACACAGGAAAAGTGTAAAATATGGGACCTTTAAACTCATATTGACGACATTGACCATTTAGTTCTTCAGCCAGTGGGTGTTTCCTGTTGCCGATATCATGGAGGTTGCAGAGGTGTCAGTCTATACAAAACAAATCTGACTGCAACTTTAGAGCGACGCACTAATCTGGTAAAAGCAGGAAATAATGTTGGTGTCTTGTTGTTTTTCGATGCAAGTGAGGACGTTATTTGTTCTATAAAGATTTTTTAAAAAACACAATTGACTTCTTCTAAAAACTTCAGCAAGGATAAAACTTCTCTGATTGGTGTTTGACCTCTCCTGTCCGGACACGTTGCTAGTCAGTGAAGTGCTCCCTGATCACCAGGGAGACGTTTGATATGATTAGCTGACAGAAAAGCTGAACAGACAAACACGTGTGTTCATTTAGACTTGTGAAAAAGAAATCACAAGAGAGTGAAACCCCCCCCATACACTGTGCATCTACATCTCAGGCTCGGGCATCACAGTAATGTTGGCCTTCGTTCTCATTCTCATTCTGTCAGCTCTTGTTGCCGCAGGTGCCAATGAAAAATTAAGTGTTTACATCTTTATTGCCTGCTCCTAATAGGAGCCTAATAGCCTGTGAATATTCATCCTTGACAACTTGCAGTGAATATAAACTGACTGAGTCTGTGACTCTGTTTCCTCTCCTCTCTGCTGATTCCTGCAGTCGTCCCTGAGATGCTCCTGAACCCAGTCTGACCCCAAAGACAGGATTTTGTTTGTGTCCAGAACACAATGATGTTAATGAGTTAGTTAGAGCTCTGTTCGGTCTGGGTGATTAGTCTCAGCCGCAGCTCTGTCTTCAGTTGCTGTTTTTGATGTCTCTCTTTCACCACAGTCCTCCTTTAGTCTCCGGCCTCTCTCTGTGTTTGGATAGTGGACTAACTGGCCCGGCCAGTAGCGCCTGTTCTTCACCCTCTGGACCGGAGCGTGGATAATTAGATTAAGCCCACAGTGAGAGGAGGGGTCTGATCCCGATTCACTGGACGAACAGCAGAACAATCCTACGCTGGGTTAATAGACCGCCCATTATCTGATCACCTTCCCTCATTTTTTAAACCTTTAGGAATAATGCAGCAGTTCACCAGAGCTGTTGCCACGGCGAGAGAAAGGAGGAGAGATGAAGGTTTAGAGCCAGCTGGCTGCGCGGTGACCAGTTTAATACGTTGTTAATATGTTTTTCTCTCACTGTAGGTCACAACATGTTTTCAACCACATTCAACCATCAAATCAAAGGGAACATGATAAAACCTGTGTCAACCTGTGCGCTCGGCCTTCTGGAGCTAGCACAAATACCTGGAGGTTTTAAAACGTGGATCATATGAGAGTCGTACACAAAGTTACCGAAAAGTTTTCTACAATGCGAAGGTGCTGCTTTCGCATTTTTCCAGATCGGTGCGAACGTGGCTCATCGGCCTAGAGTCAAGGATGCAGACAGGAATGTCTTCATTAAACTGATGAATACAATAACTGATATACTGCTGATACACACTGGGCTTTTTTCAGTCAAGGTCAGTCGTGTTTGAAGTGGCAAATGTGTATAATTTATCAGTGCAGCTCGTTACATCTGTGCAAAACAAGATAAAAAAAAGATAAAACTGCTCATATTTTATATTTCTGTTATTGTCAAATCTCACAAAAAGACCAAAAGCAGCAGTGAAGGTCTCCCACTTCCTGCCTGGCGTATCTCATTCCTCTGAGCCGTCCCGCTCCACTGTCGTCCGGAAACTATTAAAAACACGTCAGTGAGCTGCAGTCTTACACTGGGCGACATGTTCCTTCATTACGATCAACACGGGCACTGTAGTTTATTTAGACTCAATCCTGCCGCCTCTAATACCCACAGAGTGTCACGTCTGTATTAATCTGCTGCTGAAAATAGGCCCCAGTAAATGCACCATTTCCTGCTGTTTGAGTCATTTTTGCTTAAAACTCCAGATCCCAGCTGTTTGAGGAAATTACTGAGGTTCTTGTAAATATTTATCTCTTCAGTAGAAACCGATGGGCTTGAAGTTACGACATCTCCAGAAACAGACTAACACAGTGTTGGTTCTGGTCTTTTCAAGGCATTTGTTTACAATATAGAAAAGTATAGAAGGATAGAAACCAGCCTCATGATGATACAAGTTCTGCTTCATCTGATCAGAGACTGTCGGATCGCGTGTCTTCCCACCGCTCATCTCCGTATCTATTAACGTCTTCCCGTTTCTTTCTTAGTTTGAGATTTCGCTTGTCTCCTCTCCGGCTTGAGGGGAGAGATTTAGACTTTTCCAGATATTGACCCGCTGTCTGAGACAATGTCGAATTGACTCTTAAACTGAGTGCAGTTAACGTTATTAGGATCAATATTTCCCCCCAAAACAGATCGATGGGTGTATCTGAGGGAGGAAAGCCTCCATCTGAGCCGTGACCGCCTCAGGCCACGGGTGTCATTTGACCTCTGATTTGTATTCATTGTGTATTGAATTCGTCCTCTCGTGTTCAGGTGGTCATACGGCGTGTTGTTGTGGGAGATCTTCACCCTGGGGGGCTCACCGTACCCAGGGATCCCAGTAGAAGAACTCTTTAAGCTGCTGAAGGAGGGACATCGGATGGACAAACCCGCCAACTGCACCCATGAGCTGTAGGTGTTTTCTCACTTATAGGTTCAGTACCAGGTACTAGGAATGTTTTATCGTAAACTCGCTAACGTTGATGTTTGTGTGTTTCAGGTACATGATCATGAGGGAGTGCTGGCACGCGGTGCCGTCGCAGAGACCGACCTTCAGACAGCTGGTAGAAGATCACGACCGGGTTTTATCAATGACCTCCACCGATGTAAGTCTCCCTGCACAGCTGCTGCTCACAGATAACACGGAAACACCTGGAAAACACCTGGAAAACACCAGGAAAACACCCAACCCCTCGTCTCACTTTGACCTTGGCCGTAATTTCACTAACTACAAAAATCGTTTTACACATTTAAAGTCACGGGGAAAAACAGCAATTAGAGTCATTTTTATGTTACGTAATGATTCATGTCTCTGAGTGAAATAGAATATTTGGGCGATATTAAACTATGGGTGGGATTTTAATAAATCCAACGAGAGATCTGACTCAAACACACTCCTCCTGATATGGCTCGTAGTTACAGGAGCCATATTGGATTAGATGCATCTGTGCACACGCCCCCAAGGTCAACATGTGTCATTAACAGCATTTTAATGATTTATAAGATGATTTTATACCAAAACACTCAAAAATGATAAATTCTTTACATATATTGAGCAATTAAAGAGATATAACTGATATAAATATGTATGATATATAAAACGTAAAATGTTCAAATCAAAGGACGATGAACAGTAATGGACAGGCAGAGGAAAACAATCCTACATCTGCCTGAATAATATAAAACTATATTCACAATGTCAAAGAAATAGAACATTGTGTGGGAAATGCAGACACTAGAAAACAGTTATAAAACAGATTAAAGTCTGTTTTAAACACCTCAGAGCTGTAATTCTGTGCTAAAATAAAAGTGATGATACAGCAGAAGTAGATAAGTGTTCGCCTAATTATGTGACAACAGAGAGGGTTTGACCCCGACACCTGAGTCTAACCTCTGACCCCTCCTCTGACAGGAGTACCTGGACCTGTCGGTGCCCTTTGAGCAGTACTCGCCCACCTGTCAGGACTCCAACAGCACCTGCTCCTCAGGAGACGACTCGGTGTTCGCCCACGATCCGCTGCCTGACGAGCCCTGTCTTCCCAAACAGCTTCCCAGTAACGGGGTGATTAGGACATAGAAGCTGAGCTGGGAGGGGAGGGTGGACATTGACCTCCTCTCACAGTCTGTGACTAATAATCACCTCTCAGTGACTCAAGCTCCTCAAGATATGGAAATGAAACCTCCGCATGCAATACTTCCACAGTGCTTCAGCTCTTCGATTCGTCTTAAACTCTTGGTCGAAAATCCTCTTCGAGCGAGTTTTTCTTCCTCCTCCTCCTCCTCCTCCCCAACAGACTCTTGAAACATTGAAGGATTATTTTTTGCCGTTGAACCGTGTTTGTGTTCTTCTTTTCAGAAATGAAATTATATTTTTGTACTCGGGCCAGTCTTTTGTTACGGACAATCTGTGGGGTGAAACCATTCCGTGCCTACTCGGATAATAACCTCCTGACATGGAAGAAAAAAGAAAAAAAAAGACATAAAAGGATATAAGAGCAGGGAACGAAGGGCATTTGGTAAGTGTCTGGTTGGCGATCCAGTCGGCGAGGACCTCAGAGTTTTTATCCTCTCGTCTGCACGGAGCCCAGAGATCGCCACGAAAAAGTTTGCGATCGGAAAAACGAAAAAAATCTGTTGACAAGATACCAGCAAACGACGGGACTCGTTCTTCCGGAGATCCTCAGTAACTTGTCTCGACCTTCACAGAAGATGTTCAGCAGCAGCAGGAGGGATTACATGAGCGTACACGTGTTTTTCTCATGAATTCGTACACCATCGTCACGTTTTAGCATCCCGGAAAAAAAACAACAACATTTGTGATAATCATGGAACAAATTCCTCATCGAAGGTGAGGTGAAGTTTCAGGGCCATTCAGTAATAAGTACAATGAGGTTCGGAGGGTTTTTTTTTTTTTTTTTATGTATCTAGAAAATGATTTATTGTAAATATATAAATGCAAATATGTATCATATTGCTGTCCACAGCCATGTACTTAAAAGACAAAAAATTACATTTTTTAAAATATTTGTTTTAGGATGGAAGCATTGCAATCTAGAAGACACTGTCATGAACGTGTAAGACATTTAATCATTTAAAGTGATACAGAAAAGGTTTATTTGAATAATTAACGTGTATATTTGTAAAGATATTTATAGACTTAACATGTGGTTCTTAAGTTCGAAAGGTCTAGTTTAGGATTTTAGTACTGTACGCAAAGATTTTTATTTCAATTTTTTTGTAACTTATTTTACAACAAAACTGCGACGTTATTTTCACAACTGGCAGACTCCTCTAGTTTTTGATCCATCGGTTTTTTTCTTTTTCTTTTTTCTTTTTTTTTTTTTTTTGGTTTGTTTACAGTTTTAAAAAAAAAAAAAAAAAAAGAAAAGAATGTATGACATGATGATTTTTGAGAGCGAGTGTGATTCGACCGGTGACCTGAAGGCTCCCGCTGAACGGAGCTGGATGTTTTACGCTGAGCTCAAAACTCTGGTTTGAAAAGTTGACGTTTGCAATATCAAAGCAACGATTAACTCTTGCTGGGCAAGAAAGAGCAGCGCTTGGAGATATGTACCAGAGAGGCCTTTTAGTACGACTGAGGTACTTAAAGACATGTGGAACATCAACAACATCGAGCTGTGAATCATGAGAAGCCTTCAGAGAACCTCAGCAGCCTGTTTCTAAAGTCAAATCCTGCTACTGATGATATTTCACTATCCAGTCTCGACTGAAGTGAATTATGGGATGGATTGGCAGCCTGTTTGCTACTTAGCGCCCAACATTTTATTAATGTAAAATGTATGCACTGCAGTGCTCTCCAAAACCCCCACAATGAAACACAGAAAGTTCCTAGCATGTATGCTAGTGTCCTTTTTGCTAAAAACACCAAATCCCACAATGCAATTAGAGTTAATGCAGATCTACACCTTTCACATACGCTGAATGATGACAAAGAAGAACTGTGGCAGCAGTAGATTTTAAGAGCAAAAATATATATATATGAAAAAAAAGGAAAAGCGCTTTTTAGCTGCAGTGCATTCTGGGGGTTTGAGTCCATTTAGAGGGCAGAAATTGTTCTCTGAAGCTCTCACTGCTTGATTCTGAGTCTTCACCCAAAAATGTGACATTTACCATCAAATACAAGAATAAATGAAACGCACCAATTGACAACCAGGACACACAAATTCAAAATACTCTTTAATCACCATTGTCGTCTTTATCGGCGTTAAAGAGGATCCAGGCGGATTCCAAGGTGCTTCTGAAGGCTTCAAACTCTTATTGTAACAGAAAGGTCACAGGGTCAATTCTAACAAGTTGCGTGTAGTGACAGTCAGCACCTGTGTGCACACTCATGGGTAAAAGCATCAGCTCGAAGGCAGAAGTGGAAAAGCTGTTATGTCCTTTTGTGCTTGAGTGTTGCTAAAAAAGAGAAAAAAACTTGCCCAGACGCTTGAGATTTTATCGCTGCTCTATAGTATTAATACTGAAATGAAGGCACGCTGTGTGATCTGTATGTTGCACAGCAAAAAAAGAAAATATATGGACAGTGTGTATATATATATATATATATATACATACACTATATATATACATATATATCAGTTTGTTAAGGAAGAGTCTGAGGTCTGTGGTGGATGCTTCTTCAAGAAAAGTGCCAAATTAGTCTTAAAAGTCTATTTCACAGAGTTCTCCAGATCTCTGAACCAAATTACTGCACTGTCGAATGTAGGCGGGCGGAGGTTACATGTGCAGGGAAGGATCATGGGATTGCCAAATCAATACCCCCACCCCCCACCCCACCCCCTTCTTTTTCATATGCAGTCGTCTCTCCAGCTGACCCCCCAAAAAAAAAAAAAAAGCATTAGGGTTGAAATGTTTACAGAGTCTGTTTTCAGCAACGTTCACGAAAGGGAAAGCGACGTTCAAGTGGCATTGAAAGGTTCAGAAACACGATTCACTCGCTGCTAAATGGAAATGGTGGCAACACTTCACTGTGCAACGGCCTTGTTCCAGTGTAGGAACGGAGTTTATAATGTAACGGAAATACCCAACAAGACTGTGTCGGTACTTAATGAAATCTCTGCAGTATTTGAAGTACTTAAAAGAGTGAAAATATGTATTTAAATCTGTTGCTACACTGGGAGATTTATATGTTGTTTTGCTTTATTTTAGCACCAAATCTTGTACTTTTTCATTGGTTTGTACACAGAAACAAGGCCTTTGTAAAGTGAAGGGTTACACAGAGTTATTGTTACTTCTGTTTTCAGTTTTGGCCCAAATCTACAAAGTGCCTGGAATAATTTAGCAAACAAAAAGGAGATTAATTGATTAATTTTGATCACATTTTGAATGTATAATTGCAAAAAAAAAAACAAAAAAAACCCATAAAAAAATGAAAAATGAAAATGAAGTTCTGACTAGAAGCAGGCTGTGTAAGTATGCGCCTGATTTTTCTTTTTTTTTTTTGAGTGAACAAGGCAGACAAAAAGGCACTTGTGTAAAGGTTGGATGGATCTAATGAAACGGATGGTGTTTTATTTTATTTATTCTTCCATGCTGGGTAAAAGCTTTCCCTATGGTGAGAGTATTTTTATTCATAGCTATCTGCTTTTCAGTGTTGTTTTTCATTAAAGAGCCAGAAGATGATGACGATGACGTAGAGTAGTCATGTTACTAGATACTGATGCCCCCCATCAGGCTTTGCTCCTTGCATAATTTATCCTGTATTTTATTTTTATTTCATTTGGATGCCCTCCCTGGCCTTTTTCTCTGTATCCTTGTCAAGCTTTTTAACGGCCTCTGTCTCTCCGTTAAGGTCACTTTTAAAATGGATGTGTTGTTTTTAACGTGCGTCTTGCTTTTGACAGCTAAATTGAAGAGCTACTGTATGTTGCAAACTGCTGGATATCCATAATAGTGGAAAAATGGCAACTAAGAGGTGTAATTTCTTGCAGTCTGTATTGTGGTTCGGCCCACTGATCAGCTTAGTAATGGACACAAATACGGTACTTTAAAACCCTTACTAACTGATTGCCCTAATTTACGTCAAAATAGTTCTATGCTTTTAGATTCGGTGTAACTGACACTTTCTGAGGATGTTATTACCCCCCATGTCTCTTATGATTAAACATTTATTAATCTGCTTAGAAATCATACAAGACGTTAGTTTAAATACAGAACTTTCCATTGATCTGTTGGTACATTGTAAACAAAATCTGTTAATCGCTAATTTAGCATGTTTTTAATACTGCCAATTTGTCAAAATAGAAAGAAATAATCAGTAAAAAGCTTCAAGCCAGTGGCTGCGGCCATTTTCTGTTGACTTTTAAATGTCATAGCCCTGTGTCCACTTCACATAGACACATACACAGTTAATGTTCTAACATATATAGTTATTTACAGAATTAAAAATGCTTTTAAGTTGTTTTTTTTTGAGTTTGCCACTCAGAACGTGGAAGCTAATTAGCCTAGCTCGCTAATGTTAACACTGGTTCCAACTAGGCATTACTTTATGTTCATGTTATTTCAATACCTCATCGAGAATGGAGATAAATACACTTCACTGAACAGCAATAAGAGGATACTGGTGTTTTCTTCTAGAAAATGTGATGGTTATATATCTGGTAGTTCTTCTGAATTAAGATGCTGCTAAACTAAAATAATAAAATTAATCTTGAGATTTAGTTTCCCAAATTAGCCTAAATGCTGTTTCAGAGGCTTTTTTAACTGTTGCTGAATTCTGACATTTAATAATATTTGAATCAGCAAAACATTATTAGCTCCAGTGTAAAATAGATGGTTATTGGTTCGACAGGCAGATGTTAAAAACAACAAATCCTATTTTTTAGGAGTGAACCCGTTTTCTTTGCTGTTGAATGAATGAACAGCGTGGCCTCAGCAGGGAGGGATTCTTACTGTATGTACAGTCACACATGGGCCTTTAATCACCTGTCGTCTCCACTCTGACTGACTTATTTATTCTCTTTTCTGTAAAAACACAAAGAAAATCAGGATTGAAGATGAAACTGGGAGGAGAGGCGTGTTATCTCGGCTTCCTTTGGTCTCCGGGAGGCGCAC